CCTCGAATTGAGATCATTCTGTCATTTTTTGGGTTGTATCCAAGCACCGCTTTAGCGAATTTCTTATTAATTATGAAGGCTACTCCATTTCTTCGATGTTCCTCTTGTCCGCAGTAGTAGATCTGGTGGTCATCTGATGTGAAGTGGCCCATTCCAGTCCATTTTAGATTGCTGACCCCCAGAATGTCTATCTTTAGTCTTGACATCTCACCAATAACAACATCCAATTTGCCCTGGCTCATAGATCTTACATTCCAGGTTCCTATGGTGTGTTGATCTTTAGAGCATCGGATTCGTCGTTCACCTCCAGTACCGTCGGCCACTAGCCTTCCTTTCGGCTTTGAGCTAGCTGCGTCATCACATCTGGGGCTAGTTGAACTTATCCTCTGCTCCTCCCCAGTAGCATTTTGGCCATCTTCCGACCTGGGAGTCCCATCTTCCACTGGCATACCGACATATCTCTGGTTGTACTGGTCCATTTAGTTTTCTTGGCAAGGATACTGGAGTGGTTTGCCATTGCCTTCCCCAGGGATCACGCTTGGTCTGACCTCTCTGCCACAACCGTCCCGTCTTGGGTGTCCCTTCACGGTTTCGCTCATGACATCATTGAGGTGCTCAAGCTCCAGCGCCCCGACAAGGCGGTGATCCTTTGCTGGAGAAGGAATGTGTAGTGAGGGAGAACTGGATCACACTGGGATGAAAAAGAATTGTAATTAGAAAAGGCATTCAGAGAGCTTATTCAAATTGTACAGTGTTTTAATGAATTCTGAAAGAGAATATGTGTGTGTATCTATGTAACTTTATGCTTTTTAATAAATTAGAAAAAAATATGTTGGAGAGAAATTCCCTGTCTCTTTTTATTCAGTCTTCCTTCCTTCCTTCTTGACTATCTGTCCATCATGTAAACAAATTAGATTGACAAACAGATTCTGCACATCTCTTAGTATGCTACGGATCAACATGGGGGGAGTTTTAATCCAATCAACATTGTCCACTGGAGAATGAAAGCATTTGCAAAAGTGTCCCTGTGTTCAGAATGTATTTGCTTTTCTTGCAGCTGTGGGAAACATCCCCTATTCTCCTCCATAGGTAAAGCCAGATTTGTTTGTAACTTAAGCAACTCATCTCACTCTACTACATCGTTCAGGTCTACATCCTGGAATCCAAAGGATCACTGGTCTAGGCCAGTGGTTCTCAACCTGTGGATCCCAAGGTGTTTTGGCCTACAACTCCCAGAAATCTCAGCCAGTTTGCCAGCTGTTAGGAGTTGAAGGCCAAAACATCTGGGGACCCACAGGTTGAGAACCGCTGGCCTGGGAACTCCTTCCCTTAAATCTTGCAGAACAAAATCATTTGTTCTGAATCCTCCTACCTTAAGCCTTTGACTGTGTGGATCATAATAAATTGTGGCACGTTCTTGGTGGTATGGGCAAACCAAATCACCTTGTCTCTCTCTTGAAGAATCTGTCTAATGAGTAGCAACAGTCAGAACTGACAATGGAACAACAGACTGGTTCAAGATTGGGAAAAGTGTACGACAGGGTTGTATACTCTTGCCAAATGCAAGGCTGGGGTTGAAATTGCTGGAAGAAACATTAACAACCTTAGATACGCAGATGATACCACTTTGATGGCCGAAAGCGAGGAGGAGCTGAGGAGCTTTCTAACCAGGGTGAAAGCAGAAAATGCAAAAACTGAGTTGCAGTTAAACACAAAAAAACCCCAAGATTATGGCAACCAAACCGATTGATAATTGGCAAATAGAGGGAGAAAACATGGAGGCAGTGACAGACTTTGTATTTCTAGGTGCAAAGATTACTGCAGACGCAGACTACAGCCAGGAAATCAGAAGAAGTTTATTTCTTGGGATGAGAGCAATGACCAATCTTAACAAAACAGTGAAGAGTAGAGACATCACACTGGCAACAAAGATCCGCATAGTTAAAGCAATGGTATTCACCGTAGTAACCTACGGATGTGAGAGCTGGACCATAGGGAAGGCTGAGTGAAGGAAGATAGATGCTTTTGAACTGAGGTGCTGGAGAAAAATTCTGAGAGTGCCTTGGTCTGCGAGAAGATCCAACCAGTCCATACTTCACGAAATAAAGCCTAACTGCTCATTAGAGGGAAGGCTATTAGAGGCAAAGATGAAGTACTTTGGCCACATCATGAGAAGACATGAAAGCTTAGAGAAGACAATTATGCCGGGAAAATTGAAGGAAAAAAGAAGAGGGGCCAACCAAGGGCAAGATGGATGGATGGCATCCTTGAAGGGACTGGCTTGGGGGAGCTGTGGGTGGTGAGGGCCGACAGGGAGTTCTGGCGTGGGCTGGTCCATGAGGTCATGAAGAGTCGGAAGCTACTGAACGAATAAACAACAACAAACTTCCTACCTTAAACCCCATACTTACTCAGTTTGCAGATTACAGTAACTTTGGTTTACAATTTATGAGCATCATGTTGGTGAATGCTGCCTAGTTACTCTCAACCCAAGCTGGTTATTCCTCCTCTTTCACTACCTGCAGGAGGTATGTTTTCTGCAATCATAGGCCAGAGGAAGTCTGTATGTGTTCATTCTGATATAATACCAAATGAATACAGTTCTCTCTTATTCTTCTAACCAGTGGCACAAAGATCAGTAAGAACTGAAGGAAAAGCCTGGAACAATTTCTCATAATAAAGCCACACAATTGCATGCAACCACACAAATTAAATCACACAGAATAAATAGAGAATGACTGGTTGCATCAATCTCTATGCATGGAGCCTGAAAAGGAGAATTCTCTAGCTCTAGCTTTTTCCCACATTATTCTGGACCCTGATTTCCTTATATTCTAAGTGATACCGAGAGTTTTATACAACCTCATCAAATGGGATACTTTTTGGTGGCATGCACCGGTTCCTCTATAGCTCCCATCAGATGACCTAGTGCGGGCTCTCTGGGTGAAGGAGAGTAGAACCAGCATGCTGTTGTGGTAACATGGGAGGTTTCTCATCTTGCAACTGATTTTAATGGGAGGAAGCTGTGTGCACCATGCTTGCACCACACTTCCCCCCATGGAGGAGCCCGGCGATGAGGGGCAGTGGCTTCCCCACGCCCCGTGGAGAAGTGGAGTGATGTGGGACACTTTCGGCAGTCGTGTGACAAGGTAGCAAGATAGAGCACAGCAGACAGGAAACATAGGGAGCAGAGATTGGGAAAAAATACCTCCTAGAATAGCCATGCTAGCTGAAGGATTCTGGGAGCAATAATTAAAATGAATTTTTCTTTTCAAACTCTAGGAAAAACTATGGAGGGGAAAAACTAAGTGGAGCCCAGGAATGTGTAGTAGGTCTCCTGTGCATTAGCAATGCCACTGCACTTAAAACCTACTAAATGTAGTTGGCAAGGCTCCACATAAAAATGATACTAACAGTTTGTTCAGTAAATTGGAAGGTGTACATTAGTTAAATAAACATTCTGTTCCAGAGCTCCTCGGAGCCTTAAACTGAGACATACCCCAACCCATATTGCAGTTAAGGATTCTTAATCCTTAAGAATGGGAGTATAAGTAGTTTCTGTTTTTGGTAGCTTGCATAACTCTGTCCATTGCTTTTGTTTGACAGATTGGTGAAAACAGCAAAGAACTGAAAGCGCATGATTATTCAAGAGAACCTAATGAATCCTTGGAGACTTCTAATGACACCTGGCATTCGCTGATGCTAAGAAATACTACAAGTTACAGCAGTGGGACCTATAAGTGCCTCTTAAAGACACCAATTAAAAAATACAACCAAAGCAGTACAGTTACATTAAAAGTAATAGGTATGACTGAGAGGCTGTTAGTTGTATTTGTTGGCTTGTGGTTTTTGTGTGTGTGTGTGTGTGTGTATCATGAATCAGTCAAGGTAGTTCAAAGCAAATACGTCTATCTTGCCTTGCAGACTGTCCCGAGGAATCACAAGATGCAAAAGATAAAAACTACAGAACAGAACTTCTGTTGCTGTGCTCTCTTGGGTTTTTTTACTTGCTTCTCATCTTCTTTGCTTGTGTAAGTATTTTTTTTTTTTGCTTGTTTCTAATATCCTTGCTGCTCCCATTTCAGGTACAATTGTTGCAGTATTCACGGGGGAATACATAAATGGGATCCACTCATGTGTAAGAATCTTCTGGTTTGTGCCAGCACCTGGCTTTAGTATATACAAGCCATAGTTGTTAACTGCCATCAAGTCAGTTTCCACTTATGGTGACCCTATGAATGAGAGATCTCCAAGTTGCTCTGTCATCCAATGCCCCACTCAGGTTTTGCAGACACAGAGCTGTGTCTTCCTTGATTGAGGCCCCATCTACACTGCCATATAATCCAGTTTCTGAATCCATATTATCTGCTTTGAACTGGATTATATGGCAGTGTAGACTCATATAATCCAATTCAAACCAGATGATCTGGATTCAGAAACTGGATTATATGGCTGTGTAGACCCGTATAACTCAGTTCAAAGCAGATAATATGGATTCAGAAACTAGATTACACAGTAGTGTAGACTCATATAATCCAATTCAAAGCAGGTAATCTGGATTCAGAAACTGGATCATATGGCAGTGTAGACATATCTTCTCCTGATATCTGCAAAAATGGGGGGGGGGGGGGGAGGGGGTGGGTGGGGGGTGGGGGGTTTGAGTGTGTTCATCTTCAAATGGTTATCCCTTGAACAAAATTACCATCCTCACATCTTCTTTATATAGTTCTTCAATGAGTTGTTTCTATTGGCTTTTTATTTCTTTTTGGTTATGTAAAAGTGTTCCTTGCTCGTTGTAGAGCAATCCCATTCTAGATCTAAATTTCCCTTTGAGTTCTTGAATGTTGTGGAAGAGATCTCTTGTTCTTCCTTTTTTGTCATCTTCTATTTCTCTGCCTTGATTATTATTATAGTTCTCATTGTGTAGAACTCATTTAACAGCTCTATTTCTGGCCCTGGTTCTATTTCTGTCACTTTTACTTTTGTTATCTAACTGTAACTGCTTGAAGAGCTTCATCTGTAATCCATTCAGACTTCTCTTTCTTTTTGGCTTCAGATAGTGTATTGTTTCATTCTTCCCTGACAGTGTCCCTGGCTTCAGTCCAGAGTTCTTCTGGTTTCCAGTGAATTTGGCTTAATAATGCAAATCTATTTTTACATTATCTTTAAATTCTACAGGGATGTTCTTCAGGTTGTATTTTGGCATGATGGCTGGGTTAGTGTTTTTCTTTAGCTTTATTCCAATTTTTAATATCAGCAGTTGATGCTCCAGTCCCAAAAAGTAGTTTTCTATACTGAAAGGGAACAGTCGAATGTGTACATTTCTGTATGTGTGTTGAGGGAATCTTTTGCAATAATTTGAGTCATTCAGTATACACTTTCCCCTGAAATATTTGAAGGAAATTATTAAACTTGGAACACAAAAATAATCATAGACAAATATTTTCATCTGTCTATCCTGAAAATTAACCAGGATTAAAAGGCCTCTTTGTATCTCCACAGATATACACTATACATTCCATTTGCTGTTGAATTCTTGTGCGTAGAAGAAGAAAAAAAAACCTAAGCCCTTTGGTAGAGATGACCATCCCAATGAAAAATTATGTATGACATATTCCCTCTATTTGAATAAGGGCTCACAGACATAAAATCAGCTTTCATTAATGTTTAATATTGCCTAAATCTCAAAAGAGGAACTTTTTCACAGTTAAATATATTCACTTCTATCTTGTCGTTTCTCTCTGTCTTTAGCATTTTGGTTGATTTTAGAGTCTATGATAAATTGTACTACAGTCAGACCTCCACATTTGCGGATTTAGCTTTTGCAGATTTGATTATTAACTCTCCTTTTTGGCAGTCTCTAGGTCCTCCAGCGCAATTCTAGGTCAACATCCAACTGGAGGACCTAGAGATTGCCAAAAAGGTGTTCTTTCAAGTTAAAAAAGCAGAGGGTTTCATTTGCATTTTCCCCACTTTTGTAGAAGTCCTGCATCCCTAACTTCAGTGAATGTGGAAGACTGACAGCATTAATACATTTTAAAATTCATTTTTAATGCATACATTTTGATAAAATACGTAAGAATTCGGCATTAAAACTTGATAATATTTCAGAATTGAAACTAGCGTATGAAATGGGATGTAAAACATCCTTCATTTCATCTTACACAGAAGAATGAAAAAACGGAAAAGTTGCCTCTACATTGGGTTACATTAGCTTGTTTGTTTGTAGAACAAGCACTGCATTTGAATGCGATAATGACACACAGAGGATTGGCCAGGCCATACCTGTGATGGAAAGAAGGACACAGAACTGAAAGCACCTTCACTGATAGCTTCTATTAGGACTCGAATTAGAGGATAATCCTTTATGTCTAATATGGCATGTTCTGCACCTTCAGAACTATCCTGAGAGGCAGCAGAGGACATTGTGCTAATAACCAAGGTTCATATAAAACTCAGCTGCCAGAAAAGTGTTAGTTTCAGCACATGGAAGGAGGACTAACTTGCCTTTGCCACAGATGGCAAAATGTCTTGACCCGACCAGGAACTCTAGCCAATGAAATACAGTCAGTCTTCCAAATTCACTTGGATTAGAAACACACCCCTAAAAGTGAAAAACTTCAAAAATAATGCTTTTTTGTTCAACCGGAGAGTACAGCTATCTAGGAATTTCTAAATTTTTCAGTATGGTTGACTTCCGCTGGAAGTTGACTACAGAAATGCACTGGAGAACCGAGAGATTCTTCGGACCTTGCGTCGTTGTCCCTCACTCCGGGTGCTGTTTTACCAGCAAGTGTGGCGAAATGATAGGCGAGCAGCGATGGTCCTCCATCATATGGAGGAAGCGTCACCCAACCGGGCAGAAGTGTGCTGGCTCCATTGTTGATAAGGAAGCATCCTAGGATGCTTCCACATGTGGTTGGGGATGGGGCCTCTGCTGGAAATTGAGGGACATTGTGTGTTAGGCTTCGTACCCATCCATCTGTCAACTGGCTGGCAAGTATCCTACGAGGTTTAATTTGTAAGTGTGATGAGGTCTTTAAAGAAGTGTTTTCTTTAGAAATCTCTAGATCCTTCAGCACGACCAGAGGAAGTTGACCATAGGGTCACACTGGAGGACCTACAGATTCCTAGAGAGAACTTTTAAAAATCAAGTCTGTAAATAATAAAATCTACAAAAGTCAAAATCACAAATGTGGAGGGACAACTGTACGGTTGGCCCACTGTGTCCATGGATTCTGTATCCATGGATTCAATCACCCAATGCTTACAAACATTTTAAAAAAACCAACCTTTTTGTCATTGTATATAGGGAACTCTATTTTACTACCCCATTGTATTTACTTATGGGACTTGAATATCAATGGGTTTGGTGCCCTTGGGGTCTCCTGGAACCAAACCCCAGTTGATACCAAGGGCTCACTATTAAGCATTTTTCTTATTTTTCCATAAGTGATGATTTTAAAGGCTCTTTTTCTTTTCTAGACATGCTTAAAAGGAAAAAGCTCTACAGATTATCATAAATCCAGAATAAAACACACAGACAACAGACTTTGCCACATTAATACCTGCTAAAAGCCTGGTTTCTACTGGCCAAGGATCAACATAACCAAAGTTCTACCAAGCTGACTTCTGCTGAATCACTAGAGGCTCATCAGTAATAATAACATCATCAAGATGGATGCATAGACTATTAATGCACATTTTCCCTTGGAGTAACTTGGAAGCCGCTATAATTTATCAGCTACTTACCTTAGCAGGGAACTATTTCAGAGAACATAGTTTCATTCACTGCAGTATGAACTTACATCAACAACAGTGCAATTTCCATTCAAGGTTACTACCCTACTGTCGCCAGATTGACTTGTTTATGTATCCTCATCTCTTCCTTCTGACTAGCAGTTGTCCTTAATATGCAAAACTGCTGCAGAGTGGGTTTGGCCCTTGAACTTGGCAAATAAATAATTGATTGAGCCAACTCTTTCAATAAGCATACATAATGGCTTCTGTGGTACATTTTTTCTGACAGTAATGCTTCTTCAAATGATTGATCAGTCAATGAACGGGTGGAAAGATTACTGAAGCCTCAGTCTCAAGTGTATAGCATGACAACCTGTGTTTATTTCTGTATGCCTCTGAGACTGTCAAGTATGCCCTTTATTTGCTCAAACTGTAGCATGCATAGACATGATTTTGCAGAAGAATATTTAAAGAGAAGGTGTCCAATTACTATTGGTACAGAGTTAATATTTGTTAAAAAGATGCCCGAATGCTTAAGACATGTCTTTATATTTTCAACCCTAAATCCACTTACCCATGAATACCATTTAACTGTGTGTATGTATGTATGCGCCTTCAAGTCAAGTTATGATGACCCCATGAATTTTATTGAATTTTTTTAAGGCAAGGAATACACAGAAATGGTTTTGCCAATTTTTTCCTCTAAGAAATAACCCACAGCACCTGGTATTCATTGGCAGTCTCCCATCCAAGTACCAACTGGAGCTGATCCTGCTTAGCTTCCCAGATCAAATAGGACTTTGCGGGTATTTAGTAGGCTTGTGCAATTTGGCTGGAGGGTGATCCGAATTTCGTTGGGTACCCAGATCTGTTTTTAGGAGCCTCCTGAAAATCGGCAAATGAAAAAAACCTGTTTTTGGCTAAGCAGCTGAAATATCTGGGAAGATACAACCCATTGGTGGGAATGGGGAACTTACGAAGCTCCCCTTTCCATTCCTGGGATCCTTTCCTTTCTTCCTTTTAAAGGAGCCTGTGTTTGAGGAATGGTGTTAAGGAAGCATCCTTCCTGGGACCCTTTCCTTTCTTCCTTTCAAAGAAGCCTGGATTTGAAGAATGGGGTTAAGAAATCATGTGCTGCGTGCTCCTGAATGGAAGGGAAGAAGCCGCGCCTGGCAGCCATGTGGGCCGATTTGGGTGAAAAAACCGATGGCGGCTGAACCCTTCCCATTACGACCAGCCGAACAAGCCGTCTTGGCCAAAGGGAACTGACCAAACCAAATCTGTGCACAAGCCTAGTATTTACACTCTCTATCTTTGAGTAGATATGAATAAGTTTGTAGATGAAAAACATGTTGCAGATACATATTGCTCTCCACTTGATTCTTTTGCAAAGTGTGTTTTGGGGAGAAAAACCTCTCAATCAACCCTTTCCAAAACAAGTGTTTGTTGCAATGCTCAGTAAAAAACAACAACAACAACTATATCTGTGAAGAGAAGAGATGGAAAAATGAAAACTATTGAAAACTTAAAGTTGAAATACTTATGTTAACGTCATATCTTTATATGCAGGCAGTCTCTAAGTTACAAACAAGGTAAGTTATGTAGGTTTGTTCCTAACTTGAATTTGTAAGTCAAAACAGGTACATTTTTAAAGTGTAACTCCACATATATAAGCAAGCTTTGGATAGAACAGGCAGGGGTTAACACCTCTGTGGTGTTTGTTTTGCTCTCTCTTCCCCTGTTCAGAAGATTTCACCTCACTTTCCATCCCTGTGAAAACTGGATTTTGAAAAATTTGGCTTGCTGTGGAAACAAGAATTGGTGTCAAAACCTTGGTGGAAACTTCCCCATGATAACTCTTTCAGGAGTGAATTTCCTTTCCTAGGAGTAAATTTCTCATACTTCCTGTAGTCTCAGCCCTGTTCTTAACTATGAGTAATTTGTAAGTCAGATGTTTGTAACTTGGAGACTGTCTGTATATCAATGTTTTTAGAGCAGGGATATCATTACAGTTGTTGGCCATAAATGGTTTTCAGTCATAAGCAGCAGATAATGTGTCATACAACTGAGAATATTATTCACATAGCACCATAGATATACAATTCCACCCACAATCACTCCCCACTACCAGCTGTCCAAGGTAATCATAATACACAATTTAACTGATCCTTTGTAACTATTGCTCTCACTAATGAAGAAAAATGTCATGGGATTTTTGTCATTTCCCCTTGTTAAAAAAGACTATCCTTCATAGTTCTTATATATGTTCTCATGCATAATAGATTCCATAATGTGAAAGTAACAAAGGCAAAAGAGAGACTTGTAGCAAACAAGTTTATTTGAGACAAGATTTTGTGGATTGCAGCCCAATGTAACAGATCCATTCATTCATTTGGACTACTGCCTACATAGGCTTATGCCACAACAAAACTTTTTTGTCTTTAAGTGTGCACAACATTTTGCTTCTGCTGTGACTGCGATCCCATTCTGAAATTGTAACATAAATCTGTGTGTTTAAACTTTTTAAAAAATCGTGTCAGAAGCAACTTGGGAAACTGCAAGTCGCTTCTGCTGTGAGAGAATTGGTTGTCTGCAGGGACGTTGCCCAGATGTTTTACCATCCTGTGGGAGGCTTCCCTCACATCCCCACATGGAAAGCTGGAGTTGACAGACAGAAGCTCACCCAGTCTCGCAGATTTGAACGGCTGACCTTCAGGTCAGTAGTTCAGCCAGCACAAGGGTTTAACCCATTGTGCCACCGCTGCTCCTATTGCTTGATTAAAGAGATTGTAGCTTGCTAGGTGTAGGAGTTTGAATTTGGAATTTGCTTCAGTTTGTGTGTAAATAAATCAAGACATTTAAAGAAAAGGCATGGTTTCTTAACTTTGAGATGGTGTATGCTTGTGCTGCGGCCCATTATGCATTCCACAAATTATGTAAATCAGACAATATGCTTCCACCTTCCAAATTTGTTTGGAACCCTTGGTTTTGGTGAGTGATTGGGACCAAAGTGTATGCTTTCTTTCCTGCTGCAATAGTTTGTGGAAATAGATGCCACTGAATGGCCTAAATACCCTAAAGGCACTGGATCTTGGAAGTTGAGCAGAGTCAGCCCTCATTAGTATTTGGATTGGTGATCACCAAGAAATACCAGGTGCTGGTAGGCTATTCTTCTGATAAACCATCTCAGAGTATTCCTTACCTAAGAAAACTAAGAAATTCATAGGGTTGCCATAAACTGACAGCTGACAGGCAAAACTGTTATTAATCCTGGAGGCAAGACTCACAATTGGACTAAGAGGAGGGTTATTCCCTGGAGCTAGTGCCTATTTTAGGAGAAGGGGGAAGCTTCAGAAGAATTGTGATTGGGCAGGAATGTGTTATTCTGCTCTCGAAACACCACACTCTAGATCCTAATATCTCTCCCTTTCCTATTGCAATTAAAACATAGAAACAAAATGTGTTAATTGCATTCACATAAGTAATGCTTTTTGTAATCGACCCTTAGAAGAGGCATTTTTGTATGTAAGTGGAGGACAGAGTCCTCTGAATCGAGATAAATTACATTGAGTGCCTCTCAAACTAATATATTGGATTGGGAGGGTTCTTTTCACTTATGTACCAGCGACACACATCATATTTATGCCTGTTATCCATAATTGCTTATTCCTTTCTTGGAAGCTGGTGCAGACTTACAACCAGTGGCTCATGGGACTAGCAGTGATGTGTGGACCACCACTTTGACTAACACTGCTCTACTTTCCTCATCATTATGCAAGCCAACAGTCATTTCTGTGGTTATGGTCTTTCATATACAGTAGAGTCTCACTTTTCCAACATAAACGGCCAGCAGAACGTTGGATAAGTGAAAATCTTGGATAATAAGGCGGGATTAAGGAAAAGCTTATTAAACATTAAATTACGTTATCATATTGCAAATTAAGCACCAAAACATCATGTTGTACAACAAATCTACAGAAAAAGAAGTTCAATACATGGTAACGTTATATAGTAATTACTATATTTACAAATGTAGCACCATAAATTGCAATGTATTGAAACAGTTGTGGACCTGGGCAGGAAGCAGACTGCTTTGGATAATACAGAACGTTGGATGAGCGAAGGTTGGATAAGTAAGACTCTATTGTAATTCAGACCCATACTGTATACGGCTTTAAAGATTAGAGCCAGCATATTGAAATCTGCCCAGAAATGGACAGGCAGCCAATGGAGCTGCTTCAACAAAGAGCCTGTATCATCCCTATAAGCAGCCCCAGTCAGCAGTCTAACAAAGCATTTGGGAGCTGCTGGGGTTATTGAATAGTTTCTAATGGCATCTCAGCAGAAAATGTGCTAGAATAATCCAAATGGTATGTAATCGAGGCATGTGTCATCTGAGTTGCACATGAGAATCAATAACATATGGAACATCTAACGATGAATATACTGGGTTGTTGTAGGTTTTTCTGGCTATATGGCCATGTTCTAGAAGCATTCTCTGCTGATGTTTTGCCTGCATCTATGCCAAGCATCCTCAGAGGTAGTGAGGTCTTTTGAGGATGCCTGCCATAGATGCAGGTGAAATGTCAGGAGAGAATGCTTCTAGAACATGGATATAAAGCCTGAAAAACTCACAACAACCCAGTGATTCCAGTCATGGAAGCCTTTGACGATTAATATACTGGCAGGAAATATAGAGTTTGACTATTATTTGTTTTACACTGATGAACATAACCAGTTTTTAATTAAAAATATGTTTAAGCTATGTAACCTCTCGATAACCTCCAAGTTAGCTCTGGAGCACATTCTTTTTCTTTATGAGTCTCCTCCCCAAGAACTTAGCTTAATAGATCTGAAAAGGTCCTCTCTCAAAATGAAATACATGAAAGCAGAAATAATTTGAGTCTCTCTGAAAATGTTGGGGAATGGCTGCATGGTGTTCTCATGTATTCTTTGGAGACAGTCACAACTCGTCCTTATTAGGTCACTTGTAAGACAATGGCCTGGAGGGAGTCAAAAATGAATTGAGTTTTGTAGATTTAAATGATTGTGCGTGGCCATTTTGGTTTTAATATATACCCAGGGGAGGTCTCTTGGAGGACCAGGGGGACTTTATAATAAGAATTGTTCCTTGGCTAGAGATCTTTATCTCATTATAGCAATAATTCACCAGGGTGTGTATGCGTGCACGTACTGAGATAAAGTAAGGGTTTCAATGAAAGAGAAATGCTCAGGGCTGCCAGATGAAATAACATCATGGAAGCATGGAAGGAGATGGTCAGCCAAGATAAACAGGTTGGGGAGGTTAAATGGTTGAGCATCAGACTAGCTTGGCTGAAAATATACAGGAGGTCATTAAGATCCAAATCAATTAATATATACTTAAATCTAATTGCTGTGTGTCTAAAACAGAGTGTAGCAAATGTACGAGTAAGCCATGACGCAGCCTGGAAAATCCTGACACCCATCAATCTGGAA